TACAACCCAACCCAGCCCCATCTCCACGCCTGGAGAACTGGTGGTGGCCCCCGGTGACCGGGGTCCTGGTCTATACGCGACCTCCACCGTTTAATCTCCTCCTCGGGGATGCAGGCGAGGGGGGTTGTGCTTGGGCTTCCGGGGTGGCGAGGGCAACTGGTGGGAAGTCACGAAGCAAGGCCAGACTCAGGTAAGGTACCTACCTATCTACCTTACCTACACAGGTAGAGAGGTACCTCTCTTGAGCAGGAATAAGAGGGGGGAAGCTGTGGCTGGCTTCCTTCCTACGCTACCTAGGCATGTACCTAAGGTAGGTAGCTGCCTAGGTACCTTACCCGGCCTGGTAAACACTTATCGGGCTGGTTCATTGCTCCTGCTCTCCTCTTTGCTTGGGCAAGGGGAGAAGCGGGGGCCGCTGTCTCCTGCCCTCGACATGCTGGCTGTTGGCTCCTAGCTCCTGGCTCCTGGCTCTGGCTCTGGCTCTGGCTCTGGCTCTGGCTCTGGCTCTGGCTCTGGCTCTGGCTCTGGCTCTGGCTCTGGCTCCTCGCGGCTGGCGGTTCGGGCATCAACGGATGGACATGTGCAGAGACGGGGCCATGGCCGCATCTGTGGACGCTTGGGACAGTACCAGCAGCCCCGGCCACGCACCAAGGTACCTACTGTACCTAGGTAGGTAGATAGTATGGTAGGTACGGTGGGATTCTTTCGACGTGGGCTTTTTTTCTTGGAGGGGCCGAGCCAGCAATGCCTCGCTTCCTGGGGCTCCAGTTCGTTCTCCTGTTGAACACCTCATCTGCCTTTGCCGCCTGATGACTGGCTGCTCGCCGGCTCGCTGGCACCTCATCAATCACGAGGGAGGGGCATGGAGTCCCGACCTGTTCTGCTTCTCCCCCCACCAGCTGGATCATCTCGTCCAACCCACCACTTCTGCTTGATCCCGCCGCTATCAAGAATCCCCTCGTCTACCGCCTCACTCTGCCGCCTGCCACGAGATTTCGGATGCCGAGATTGCAGCTTGGGGCATCCTCATGTCGCCATGCTGGCTGGGCTACCCATTCACGGACCATCATTGTCGAAAAATAGAAGTGGGAGCCCAAGCTCAACCGTGGCCCCCGACACTAGTGCATAGCCCGCCTGCCCGCCTGCCCGCCCACCCCTCCAGCTTGCTTGCTGGCTCGCTGGTTGGCGACGGGCGGCGGACGATGCAATCTGGGTACGCACCAGCGGCCAGGCCACGCCTGTCTGCCTACCACTCTCTGCCGTGGGCCGGCCGGATCTCCACTTTCCACCTCACCACGGGAGGGGGGCAGGGCAGGGCGGGCGTGACCTTGCAGTGAGCGGCGCCAGTTTGCGCTGCTCATCACTATCTGTCCAGTCTTGCCAGTGTACCTACCTGCCTACCCATACCTAGGTAGGTAGGTAGGTACCTACCCAGGGAGGGAGGCAAGGAGGGTACCTATCTCTTGTTTGTTTTGGCTCCTTTGCAACCCTTGGATAAATCAACAGCCACTCTCGCCCTCCCCGCCTTGTCCGCATTCTGCCACTAGACACAAAACAACAAAGATGGCCCACGTGACAGTTGCACTCGTCTCTCATAGATTCATGACCAGCGCCCTGCGCCCATCATTCGCGGCCGGCGCTAACCGTTGAGGCCACGCCAAAATGGGTCTGAAACACAGTCTGGAGCGTGGTATCAGTCGGCTCCAGGTGGAAGAGACGGGCTGAGGTAAGCCACATGTTTGCTCACGACCCAGCTCTCTCCTCGTCCCTCGCCCTTCACAGAACTTGTGGAGACTCACTCCACTTGGGCTGATCATCTGCTGGGCACATTTTGCTGCTGGCTTGCTGGCTGGACGCATGGGACCGTGTCATTAGCGACAGGGCATACTGCCAAGATCCAAAAGCACCAAGTTGCTGTGTGTTTTCGAGTCTGTTTTTGTGTTTATGCGTGGGTTCCGGTGCAGGACCCATGCAGCTGTTCATGCTGTTATGCAGTATAGACCTGTGGAGCAGCCAAGGCACATTGGCACATTGGCACATTGGCACCTATTTCGGAAACCTTTGAGAAGGCCATGTCTAGACTCTTATGGTCAATCCAGGCGGCAAAAGGACTGATCTTGAGGCGTCAGTGTCGGCGATCCGCAGTATCTGGTCTCTCCAGCCCGACGTCGTACGACTATCGAAGCAACAGCATGGCACTCTGTGAACAGAATGACCGTCAGCAGCGAAGAGGCCATTATTATGCAGGGAGCAGTTTTAAAAAGCATAATCGTACTACATTCAGACTGGTTTAAAATAATACAAGGGGCCAGGCAGCAGTCTCGTTACCTATGATCGCTCCAACCCGCCATTGCAATTGTGCGCCCCTTTCCCATATGTTCGCTTCGGCCACATCATCCTGTTTACAGCTCAACGTGTCGCTTCGCCCGCGGATCGGTCCTCTAAAGCTCCTCCAGCCGGGCGTCGTCATCACCCCCCTGGCCGTCAGGATACTTCTCCCGGCCCCAGTTCGCAGGGTCCCCGCCGGGCACGCAGAGGCCGATGCGCCAAAAGTAGTCCCGGTGCGCGAAGAACAGCTGCCACAGCTTGAAGCGCGCCGGCACGCTCGGAAATCTCTTGACCCACCTGCGCTCCTGGGGCGCCGTCCCCTCGACGGCCCCGGCGAGTCTTTCCTCTTGCTCCTCCTCCTCCTCCTCCTGCTGCACAACCTCGTCGGCCACCGCCTCTACTTGTTCGACCTCGACGTCGCCCTGCGCGATGCACTGATCGTCGCTGGCTCCGCGGCAGACGACGACATCCTCGACCGACGGCGACAGGTCCGGCTTCGTGATGAAGAATTCGCCGCCGTGCGAGCGGTACCCCCACTCCGTCAGCGGCAGCAGCGGGACGGGATCGTCGGCGTGCGTCACGCGGCGGTACACGCGCTTCTCCGGGTCCGCGGCGCCCGCGGCCTCGGCCTCGGTGTCGAGCGCAAAGACGGCATCGACGTAGTCGCACAGCGGCTGGTTGCCGACCTTGGGCTCGCCAAAGGTCGTCACGAGGAGGTCGTCCCAGCCGAGGGACACGCGCAGCTCGAGCGCCGCCAGCATGGCGACAGCGCCGCCGAGGCTGTGGCCGACGAGGTGGACGGGGTAGTCGGGGAACTGCGCCTTCAGCGCCTCGAGCTCCGGCAGCACGAGCTTGCGGGCCTGCTGCCAGGACTCGAGGAAGCCCTGGTGCACGGTGCAGTTGTTGCACTTGTGGCTCGGTGCCTTGGCGGTCTCGCCGCCGTTGTCGGGGGACGGGTAGGGAAGGTATTCCTGCGGCACGGTGCTCAGGTCGACGACCGTATTCGCGATGCTGTAGGTCCCTCGGAATGCGATGATGATTGCCTTGCCACCCAGGAGATCGCGCTCATCCTCCTTCGTATCGGGACGGCGGACGCCGTGGTCAACCGCAATGTAGCCGCAGCTATCTTTCATGAGAATGCCGGTATTCCATGTCTTCGCGAGGACGAGGGTCGGGAACTCGATGCAGCGCGAGGCGCAGGAGAAGGGCTCGGAGACGCCTGTGGTTCCGACGCAATAGGCGATATCAACCAAGCGGGACATGCGCTCGAGGGAAGAGAACAGAGCGACAGAGACGGGCTGTCGTCCATCATCGTCTGACCCGCCGCCCAGCGGTCGCTGGCTGATAGTTGCGCCGACGTTGAGAGCAAGGGCTAGTAAGGATGCAAATCGCACCAGGCCCGAAAAGCCACAGGCGATGAACCGCATGGTGATCGTATGGATTGAGGGGTTGAGTTGGACGATTATGTGCTATGCAAGGCGTGGCGCAAGACCATCGTTGCCTCGCGCAGAAGGGGCGTTGGAGCGCTTTCAGGTGCTCAGGGTTGATTGTTTCGACAGAGAGTATCGTCTTGAGAGGAATGTTGGTTGCATCAATGCCTTCGTTGACACATGATTGGGATGGTTTCGGGACAGCGATCGTAACCAACGTCGCGAGTGGACAGCGGATGCTTGAGACAACGCGGACCACGTCTGGTGCACGAGGATGATCGTGCCAAAGTCGTTGATGCGGTGAGGTCATATGGCACTCCAGTCAGTCACCTGCCAAGCAGAGATCCCCCCCTGATGGTGCAGCCTGAGTGGCTACATTGGATGGGGATCGACCCCACCCCCGGATCGCTTAACTACCGCTTCACATTCATCTATTCCCCGATCCCCAGCGGATTTGGGCGGCCTTCGTGATCTGGACGTGGTGATATGTTCTATTGATTTGTGATACGCCAATCGTCCTGATCGTTCAAGAATCATTACGGCCTTCCTTGTTTATTCTATTGTCTAAGCCTGTGCCCCCCCTCAGCCTTTCCAGAAACTCACTCAAACTTGGGTGGCGCAGGCTGGATGCTGAAGAACTTGGCTTGGATGTCCGCCGAATCGGCCTTGCAGTTGCTTGCAGCGGTAGCTGTGGCATTGTTGGCGGTTGTGCCATTGCCGCCGGTACATGTAATAGCCACGGGTGCCGTACCAGATGCCTCATAGTCAGCCGCACTGAAAGGAACGTCAGTTGCTGTATGCAGTATCGCAATATTTGATTCATCTTACCCATCTTCACCAGCACATACGCCCTCGATCAGCGTCAGGGACCCGTTTTGCCAGATGAAGTTGACACGAGCGTCGTTGCAGCTGTATCTTGGAGTCCTCCCGTCGTTGTTGACGGCCTTGGATGTGGAGTTGAAGAGGCAGGATGTGTCTACGGTCGTGCTGTCGTCGAGAAAGCCAAACTCATACGAGTCCAGCGTCTTTCCGCCGTCAGCCGAATCTGCGACAAAGTTCTGGATGCTGAATTCGTCGGGTAGCTGGCAGTCGTCCGTGGCCACCAGAGCTGCTATCTCCTGCGGGAGGGAGGCTATGTAGGCTGCCATGGCGTTGGCGGCAGGAGTCGCTGCCAGGAGGAGGCACAAAAGCTGGTTCATGGTGTCAAATTTGGCTACCGCTGAGTGGTAGGGATAGCGAGCACAGGTGGGAGATGCTGGTGTATATGGATGTGTATTGAAACGAAGAATATTGATTTGAGAAGCGCGGAGTACCTAAGCAGGTATGGAAGGAGAGACCAGCTATTTCTGCCCGTAAGGAAACAATGATTCTTTATGGGACCAGAGACACCCGCCGTCCCTTGCAGAGGCCGACAGTTGGGAAGAACCTACCGCAAGGTATTGCGCAGATCTGTGATGCAATAGCCCATGAAATGCCCACCTAGTCCCTGCCAGCGTCACTTTCTAAAGCGACGGCCTATCACCATGATGAGTCCAGCAGCGGTCTCCTGGAGATCTCTGGAGCAAAAAGAGTGGGCTATGATGTGTCGCGTTTCGAGACAGCTGGGTCGCTCAGAACAGCCACGCACTAACCTGTAGATCCCGTCGTGTATGCGTCTCCCGTTACAACATCAACATGAGCCCGATTGGTCGCTATGTCGCTGTTGAGGAGACCCAAAAGAGAGACAAACAGCCAGATAAGGAAGCAGTGCTCAGGGGCTGGGCCGCAGTAGGGAAACGGGCTCCAGCAGCCGGCGGGCCCGGCGAATATCAACGAGTGGGCCATAAAAATGGGCGGCTGTTGAGGACACGCAAGACGGTGCGGTGCAGCTTAACGAATGACACCCTGGGACTTGCTTCAGACAGAAATCATGCCTTGGGGAACCCCGACCAAGGCCGCCTGCCAGTGCACTGTTGCCAAGCACCCGGACCTGATAGTAAATTCGGCCAGTTGCAGTATTAGTCACGTCGTGTCACCTCCGGCCAAACCGACCACATGGTGGTCTGAGAAATTCATCACAGCTTTGGTGATAACGGCGGTTCGTGTTCAGAGTTCTGGATGGTGTGCCGTAGCAATCATGATTCAATAAAGAGGTGGAAACGGCAAAGCCACCGGGCAACGACCTCAAGAGGCTACAGTTCCAGTACAAGTGGATTGAACCAGGTGGACCCCAAGCTCAGCTCGCTAAAAGCCCAGATCAAAGTCTAGACTTATCGATAACGACGCACACAAGAAATCATCGCTACCCTCTACACCCACGTGACCGCACAAATTGCGAATTTTCGTCCAGGCCCCACCCCCCAGCTGGCCAATTTTCAGATTATCCCGCCGCGACCCCGAAGAAGCCTTTCCCTCTCCTCCCCCCATCGCCCAACGACAACCGACGACAACATCGCCCAACCCGACGACAACAATGGCGAAGGAACAGTCCACCCGCACCGGCCTTGCCGTCGGCCTCAACAAGGGTCACGTACGTGTCTCACCTCCTGGAGGATCTCTGCATCCGACTCCCTGAGCAACTGTGCTCGCATTTGCAGACGATGGACAACGTAAGGCTGACCAGCCATTCAATCTAACAGAAGACCACCCCTCGCGTCGCTAAGCCCCGCATCTCTTCCCAGAAGGGCCGCATCAGCAAGCGCACCACCTTCGTCCGCGAGGTTGTCCGTGAGGTCTCTGGGTACGTTAACGTCACACACTATGAGATGGAGCGGCAGGAGGCGGAGGCAAAGGCTGGGGTTAGACGGCGGTCTGGGAGCAATGATGTTGACAATCAACATTGCTCGCCGACTGCCGTCTGATCGATGTGGCTCTGCCTCTTGCGCTCGCTCTGCAAATTGAATCAAGCCCAGATGCTAACTGGTCTCCAGCCTCGCCCCCTACGAGCGCCGCGTTATCGAACTCCTTCGCAACAGCAAGGACAAGCGCGCCCGTAAGCTCGCCAAGAAGAGGGTAAGGTCCCACGACACAACGGCTGCTCTGCACTTGATACTAACACCAACAACCAGCTCGGAACCTTCGGCCGCGCCAAGAGCAAGGTCGACGAGCTCCAGCGTGTCATCGCTGAGTCCCGCCGTGCCGCCCACTAAATGCTTTCACGACTCGAAGTGGGTTGGTCTGGGAAGTTGAATAGGGGCATCTGGGTTTCGGCGTGCGGGCGACAAAATGGCAGCGGTCCTACAGAAGAAAAAAGAGGACCCCTCATGGCATTTTCCGCTGAGGAAAATACAACGGTTTACTGCGGCTTTCACGGAGTGGCGGCTAGCAGGTCATGAGAAATACCAATACCAACGATTTCAGCAAGGAAATTCCAGCTTGCGCCTTCATTCTCTCCCCTTTCATTCATATGCATCGCTTGTGTCTTGTGGTGATCATTCTAAGTGCCCTCTCATCATGTCTCTTGTCGGCGATGTCTATTTCTTGCCAGGCAACTTGAGCCACTTGGGTAGCTTCTTCCCTGCGCCTCCATCCCCCCGATCGCTGCCTTCTGGTTTGGAGCTCGGTACAACCGGAACCCGGTCGTCCACCTCCTGCTCCTTGGGCAATTCTGGCACCTTGACTGCCGTCGCGCGCTGTGCAACGCTATCCTTCAAGAAAGCCTTTTTCCTCACGTCCCCCGGCACGCTGTCGTCCCACACAAAGTTGACGAGCACGCTGCGCGTCATCTTGTAGTCGTGGATCAGGAGAGTGTTAGGGCCCTGGCTATCCTTGACGACATCCTTGCCTCCCGGCAACACGAGCCGGAACTTTTGTCCGCCATTGGCCATGACGGACCGCACCGCCTCGTAAAGCACAGCGCCAGTCGCCTCCGGACCAAACACCCATTGAGCTGATGTATTGTCGGGGAAACGAACCTTGACAGGAACCGAGGATACAGAGGCTAGTCTCGCCTCTTCGGCTTGCGCCTTCTCTTCGATCTCCTTATCCGATGGCAGGTGCTTGTTATGGGAGCTCTGCAGGAGTCGCGCCTGGTGCAGTTGCGCTTGCTGGATGGACGGCGTGAAGTCACTTTCGGACATGGGCATGGATGCCGCGGCTATTGTCGTGCCTGTGGGCGCTTGAAAGACGCCCACTGGCTGCAACGGGTCTGAAGGCAAGGTGACTGGTGCAGGGTCGACATCCATGGCGTCGCTTGGAGTTTGTTCGGGCTGAGCTGAAGCCGGTGCAGGAATTGAAGCATCCGTTGACTGCTCAGGCGTGCTGTCAGGCTCGGGTTGCGCCACCGTCTCAGGGACGGTAGCCGTAGTTGCAGGCACGGCCGCGGCTTCTTTCTCTTCAGCCTCCACCTCCGCGAAGAACTGACTAATCTCCGTCATGGACTCGAACAGCGTCTTGTCGGTCTTTCTGAACGACAGGCGTATCAACACGCTGCCCGAGTTGTACCCCAGCTGGGACAGGGTTTTCTGAAAGTCCGCAAAGGAGGCCAGCTCCCTGCCCATGATGTTGAGAACCGGTGTTTCGTAGAACAGCTGGCCGCTACCAGTCTGGCCACCAGCCGTTGTCTGCGCCACGCCCCGCGCCGTCAGGTTGAGGTTCTTCCCCTGGCTCGAGACCCGGGTTTCGAATTGGCGCAGGACTTTCCATAATGAGGACTCGCTGGAGAACTTGTCGACAACACGTCCGTTTGGAGTCGCATTGGATTCGGGGGAGGGGAGCTGAAGGGCTACGGATACGGCGGACGGTGTGTTTGACTTTTGGACGAGCTCAAGCTTTGCGCCGGGGATGAGGCCTGCTTGGCGCCAAAGAACCGAAAGATCGACTTGCTTCTGCTTATGTCTTGTCCTGTCAGTGTGGGGCTGGAGGGAGGTCAACGATGGACATACTTGAGGAGATACTTGTCGCTGCCGAGGTTGAGCTTCTTACAAGCTTCTTGGAGAACGTCTGTCATGTATGTTCCAGGGTTGACCTTGACCGTTGTCCGGCGCAAGTCAGTGGCGATGACGGTAACGTGAGACGCCATGATCCGATGCAAGTCTTTCTTGTATTGGTGTCTTTCTTCTGAAATCTTTCAGTGTCAACTTCCACCCTGCTAGGAATCAGGAATTGGACCGTCGTCGCTGGTTGCTTCACTGTAGGGTCAAGTGGTGCTTGGTGGGGTAGCGGTCGTAGCATAGGTCATCAGTGAACGTGGTACGTTTGATAATGAGGGTCGAACTCGGTGGAACCGGACCGAAGCTCGGCATCCGGGCTTGCGAATTTGTGAGATACAGGTGGTAAAGCCAACAAGCTGGCATGCGCACAAAAGGCCGAAAACACGTAGTCTTTCTCGCAGGCCAAAGTCGTGGTCTCGGCGAGAGAGCATATTACCACATTGCGGAGAGCCGCAGGCAGCATCTTGTTATCGAGGGATGCGTAAGGCGAACGGGGCTTATCTCAGCGTCCCTGGTTGAGAAGCTCCCACCAATGATAGAGCTCCACAAGAAGATAAGTGGGTCAATCTCGACCACCGCTGCCGCGCCATGTCGTGTTTGCCTTGCTCTCCAGCTGGCTAATCGATGCAACTGGCATTCAACCTCCCCCGACCTTCCCACCCTGCAGCTATCGAATCCATCGTGACGACCTTCCCCGACAGCAGCACCATCACGCAACTTGACGAATTTCACGACGTTCCTTCCATAGTATCCCGACAGCGTTCCCGATCCGATAACAGCTGCAGAGGTCCCCTTACCACAGAGCCAACATGGTATGTCCATCACCGAGCACCCTCAATGACCCCCCGGCTCCAGCTAATCACCCTCCCAGAGCTCCCCCTTCTCCATAAGTCCGTTGAAACCCCTCCTCCCTCGAGCCCTCCCCCTAACAATCTCATCCTAGACGGCGGCGCCTGCGTGGCAATGGTGGGCAAGGACTGCGTCGCGATAGCCTGCGACCTGCGCCTCGGCCTCCAGGCCCTGACCGTGTCCAACAACTTCCCCAAGATCTTCCAGTACGGCGACGTCTTCCTCGGCCTCACGGGCCTCGCCACGGACGTCACCACGGTCGGCGACCTCTTCCGCTACAAGTCCAACATGTACCGCCTCCGTGAGGAGCGCAACATCGCGCCCCGCACCTTTGCGAACCTCGTCTCCTCGTCCCTCTACGAGCGCCGCTTCGGCCCCTACTTTGTCTCCCCCGTCGTCGCCGGCCTCGACCCCAAGACGGGGAAGCCCTTCATCTGCGGCTTCGACTCGATCGGCTGCATCGACTTTGCCAAGGACTTTATCGTCTCCGGCACGGCGTCCGAGCAGCTGTTTGGCATGTGCGAGAGCTTGTGGGAGCCTGATCTGGTGAGATTCTCTCCTCCTCCTCCTCCTCCTCCTCCTCCTCCTCCTCCTCCTCCTCCTCCTCCTCCTCCTCCTCCTCCTCCTTGTGGCGGTGCAGCCACTGCAGCGGTTGTCGGGGTATTAATTCGCTTATCTTCCAGGGCCCCGATGAGCTTTTCGAGACCATCTCTCAGTCCCTTCTCAACGCCGTCGATCGCGACGCCCTGTCCGGCTGGGGCGCGCACGTCTACATCATTGAGAAGGACAAGGTTACCAAGAGGCTACTCAAGGGCAGGCAAGACTAAGACACTCTTTACAAGCAGCAGGCGGGAGCAGAGCAGAACAGGAGAGCGTGGCAGGACGTTACATCGGCATGCTGGATGGGCAGACAGAGATCCCAGGTTCATCATGTGCGCGTGTATCTTGTATCAACAGACCCGGCGTAATGATCAATAGACATGGTCGACACGTCGCAGAATTTTGAAACATGACTGGTAATGCAACAGAAGAACATTGTGTATTTTTTTTTACTTCGAACGATTGGCAGTCTGAGACGGCTTATCAAGTCTTTACAGGCAGAGAGCTCGAGGCAAGCAATGTATCTCGCTCGCTCTATGATATGGTACATTTCTCTATCGATCTAGCCCGAAACGACCCTCTACATTCGTCTTTTATTGGGCCTTCTTTGCCTTGATTGCCTCAACCGTCTTGGTCTGCATGAAGAACGACCTCTCAATCAGTTTGAGACCCTCGTCGATAAGACTGGCTTGTGTTAGTACTGATCTATTGACCGAAGAACGGTAAAACTTACATGACGGGAGCGCTGATCCACAGCACAGCCTTCCACTCGGTCCAGTTCAACGGCAGGATCGAGAACAGGCTTTGCAGAACCGGTGTGTAGAGCAGGGCGAAATGAAGAGCCATGGACAAAGCAATGGCGTAGACGAGCATCATGTTCTCCCAGAGAGGAAGGGTGAACAGGGACTCGCTGGAGGACAGGGCATTGACGGCGTTGAACATTTCGATGACGACGAGAATAGAAAGGGAAACGGTAGAGGCTGACTTGGCCATGTCGTTGGAGAACATTTGGCAGCCAATCTCAGGGAACTGCGTCGAGCAGCGGTGGAAGCTGGAAAGCTGGTTAAAGGTAATCTGCGGGCCCTCTGGGTTGTACATGAACCACCAAGCGTAGCCGGCAACAGTGGCCAGGCCGACGTAAGTGCCGATGACCATGTAGCGGAAGAAAAGCCATCCGCCGATAAGGCGTTCGTCACGCTTGCGAGGCTGGCGCTTCATGATGTCGTGATCGGGGGGGTTGAACGAGAGGGCCGTGGCAGGGAGACCATCAGTGACAAGGTTGACCCAAAGAAGCTGGACGGGAATCAGAGCCTCGGGCATGCCGAGAGCGGCGGTGAGGAAGATGGAGACAACCTCGCCAATGTTGGACGAGATGAGGTACCGAATGAATTGCTGGGTGTTGTTGTAAATGGAACGGCCCTCCTCGATGGCGACCTCGATGGTGGCAAAGTTGTCATCAGCAAGAACCATGTCAGCGGCGAGCTTGGCGACATCAGTGCCGGATCCCATGGCAACACCAATATCAGCCTTCTTCAGAGCAGGGGCATCATTGACGCCGTCACCAGTCATGGCAACAACTTCGCCGGCTTGCTGAAGAAGATCAACGAGCTTGGACTTGTGGCTAGGCTCGACGCGAGAGAACAGAGAAGCGGTGCGGGCAGCCTCAATGGCCTCGCGAGCGGTCAGGTTATCAAACTCGCGGCCAGTGAAAGACTTGCCGGTAAGGTCCTCGTTCTCGCCAAAGACGCCAATTTGACGGCAGATGCTCTCGGCGGTGTTGCGGTTGTCTCCAGTGATGACGATGACGCGGATGCCAGCCTCCTTGCACTTGCGGATCGAAGTGGCCACCTCCTCACGAGGAGGGTCCAGCATGCCGACGAGACCAACAAACGTCATGTTCTGCTCAAGCTCAGCATACTGGGCGGTAGACTTTGCGTTCTTCAGAAGTGCGTTGTTGCCAACGTTCTCAATGCTGGCGAGAGCAATGACACGCATGCCCCGGTTGCCATACTCGACGATTTCCTTGGTGATGAGGTCTTGCGTCTTGCGGTCTAGGGCCTGGCGCTTGCCATCGGCGCCGAGGAGCGTGTGGGAGCAGCGTTCAAGAATAGACTCGGGCGCGCCCTTGACAAGAAGCTTCTGCTCCTTGCCGTTCTGGACAACAACTGACATGGACTTGCGGTCACGAGAGAACTCATACGTGGCGAGGCGGCGATACTGGTTCTCGTAGTGAGCGCTGGCGTGGTGGAGGAAAGCATCAGGGGCTGAGCTAGCGGGGGCGCTGGGACCAAGCTTCTCGACAAGCACGCGGAGAGCACCTTCGGTAGGTTCGCCAACGTTGGAGTAGGAGTCAGTCTTGGGGTCGTAAGCCAGCTTGGAATCGTTGCAGAGAGCAGCCACCTCGGTGATCTGGCGGACAGTATGGGATGAGCGGGGAAGGTCCTTCACAGGCTGGCCGTTGGAAGTAATGGCACCCTTGGGGCTGAAGGTAGAACCCTCGACATCGAGTTCGATGAGGTCTGTTCCGGACTCATTCAGGTAGACGACCTTGTTGACGCTCATCTGATTCGTTGTCAGGGTGCCGGTCTTGTCAGAGCAGATGACGCTGCAGCTGCCGAGAGTCTCGACTGAAGGCAGGCTGCGGACAACGGCATTCTTGGCGGCCATCTTGCGAGTGCCCAGAGCCAGACAAGTGGTAATGACAACGGCCAGACCCTCGGGGATAGCGGCGACACCAAGAGACACGGCAATCTTGAGGTAATAGATAGCACCCTTGGTCCAGGTCCCATGGCTGGGATCGTTGAAGTGAGGGATGTTGATGAGCCAGACGAGGATGCAGATGACGGTAATGACCTTGGCCAGACTGTCGCCGAAATCGTTGAGCTTCTGCTTCAGAGGGGTAGGTTCAGAGATTTGGGCAGTGATACTCTCATGGATGTCACCGATGGCGGTGCTGGTACCGGTCAAGACGACAACGGCCTTGGCACGTCCCACAACGACGGTGGTTCCAGAAAAGAGTATGTTGACCTGGTCCTGCAACACTGCCTTCTCGTCATTGACGACAGCGGTGTGATCCTTGCCGACGCTCTCGCTCTCGCCAGTCAAGATGGCCTGGTCCATGGCGAAAGCATTGCTCTCAATGGCGACAACCCTGCAATCAGCGGGGACACGGTCGCCAACGTTGACGGTGATGATATCGCCGGGCACGAGCTCCTCGGCCCGGACACGAGAGACGTGGCCATTGCGGAGAACATTGGCCTCGTTGGCCGAGTATTCCTGGAGAGCGGCAATGGCCTTCTCGGCGCTGCTCTCCTGCGAAACGCCAACGACGGCGTTGAGGATCAGGATGGTGAGGATCTGGGAATACCGGCATGATTAGCGTTGGAAAGTCTTGGTAGGTGGGGGGGCGCGGCCCGGGGATTACGTACCACTGCTGGGTCGACGAATGCGCTCCAGCCTTCCTCGTCGTCGAAAAGGGCAAGAACGAAAGAAACAGCAGCCGAGCCCAGGAGGATAATGACGAGCTGGTCCTTGAATTGCTCCAGAATGAGCTCCCAAATGGGCGTGGGGGGTTCCTCGGGGATCACTGCGAAAAAGAGGTTGCGTCAGCTTGGTTCGCAGAAAGTTCGACAGGCAGAGGCGCGCAAGGTAAAGAATGAAAGAGTGCTCGGGGGAGAAACCTACCATTTCTGCCGTGCTGAGACCGCAGCGAGGCGACCTGGTCGTCGTTGAGGCCGGTCTTGACGTCGACATCAAAGTGAGCCAGGACCTTATCGACAGGTTTCGCAAAGGCGTCCTCCATCGCAAAGGCGCGCGCGGGGCGCAGAGAGTGGCTGCGTTCGGGGAAAGAGGTCCTCAAAGGATTGGTATGGCGGTCGTGCTTGCGCTCAAGTTTTCTCGGTGGGAGGGACTGGTGTTGTTGCTCGGGAGAATCAGTCGCCTTGATTCGGGGACTTGGAAAAAGGTGAAGTAGGGACGAGAGTTGAAGAGGCTTTAGACACAAGGCATCTTATTGCGTAGGCAGTGGGGCTAGGAGGCAACGACGGGTCAACGATAATGGGTCTGGGCCAACGACAAGAAACACCAAGAGTTTCCACGCGGTTCTTGACCTCCACTACGTAAGGTGTCCTGTTCTGTTGGAGGGGGATGTAGTCTGGCGAGAGAGTCGAGCGCAGGGCCGGCGATCTGAAGTGTCCTGGTTTTTTTGGGTGGTACCGTACCTTGCCTTACAGAATACGTGTTCGTTCACTGGTTTGGCACCGGTTACAGGACCCTTTTTCGCCGTGGGCGTGTTGAAAGGAACTGCTAAGGTCGAGCTTGCCCGCTTCTGGTTAGGTTTGGTGCGCATCCAGGCCCCAAATGTGCTGTGCACTGTGTAGCAGGCGCGACTTCCCTTCCCTGAAGGCCCTTCCAGAAGATCTAGCGGAGATCACTGGCCAGTCAGGTCGTATTCTCAAGGAACCGGCGAACGAGGTTGGTGCCTTTGAACCGCCAGCGGAGGCGAGCGCGGGGCAGTGGCCAATTAGCTGACTCGAGTGTGCACCGATGCGGAAGTCTTCCCACCTCAATGCTGGTCAAGTGTCGACCTCGCTGATATATCCCTGACCTGGCCAACACCTGGGGACAAAATGCGGAGGAGGTTGGGCTGACTGATCTTGTCTCATGACTGCCATCAGTCATCATGTCTGTCCCTTCCTCACCTCCAGAATCGCCATGTTCGGTGTACGCCAACAAAGCAAGCTGGCGTGGGGGGCTTTACTCGTGGCTCAAGGGTCAAATGTGGCGGGGCTGGGGCCGGCTGGCCTCAACCCGTGTCCCAGAGTACTTCCCAAGGGACTATTCGGGACCAGCGCCACATCTCATCCCCGGCGACACGCCCAAGCCTCATCCCCTCACAACGCTAAAGCTAAGGTACCTAAGGTACCTAAGGTACCTACCTACCTAGGTAGGTAGGTAATAAGGTAGCTTGAGCTGACCATCTCATCCGAAGCAGCTTCACAGCTTGACGTCGTGATTTTGACACCATGGCATGACGGAGCTCGGCCCTTTTCCCCATTTTTTCCAGCAGCATGCGATTCTTACATTTAGATCAGCGCGGGAGCTAGATCTCGATGGACCTTGATTAGTTGCCGTCATGTCCTGGTCCCTGGGCCCTGTGGGTTCATGCTTGATGCTCAGTGGCCCCGGCCTGCCGTGTCTTGCCTTCATCTCCCTCCGGTCTCGCGCATCATGGCTTCAGCCATGGGGAGCACTTATGCACGCCTCCTCCTCCAACTCCGACCCGAACACCCCGCTTGTGCAACTCTCTTGTCCCAGCCGGGAGCGCCTGAGGTGAGATGGCCGTAGATCTATGCGTCGTACCCAGGCTGAGCCCTCCTGTACATGTAGGCCGGCGGCCAGACGAGGCGATGCAGCGTGGGACAATGCTACTGGAGCTCTGGGACCATCTACATATTCCTTGGCCCGGTATTGGCATTGCATGCCGTAGCGGCAAGCATTCCTTGTTGTTGATCCCCCAAGCACATTCGTCAACAAGCAACCCCTAAGACCGATTCGCTCGCAAGTGGCACTGGTGAGTGGTCACAGCAGTTCCGACGCTGTGGTATCACCTCCACTTGCAGCTTTTAGTCTCGAGATACGGCTTCGATCGAGGCGAAGCTAGGAGACCTTAATTCCCGAGAGCAGAAACGCAAGATGCGCTTCCATCGCAAGGCGACCAAAGTCGAGGCCATGTCGCCCCTCGAGACGGATCCTTTTTTTCAAAGACAACAGGAGCTGGCCTCTGAAAGTCGGTGTATTACTGTGCGTGCCCCAGACATGATTCTTCCCTGCCAACTCGACAGTCTGAATCGACTTGCTGCTTTTTTCTTTCCTTCTCGCTTCTTCTGCCTGCCTCAATCCACTTATGCGCCCCGGTGAGACGCAATCTCATAAGGTACGGAGCGTGAGCAGAAAACACCCACGCAGGGTAAGGCAGGAAGGCGTCATTCACCTTCGCCTGCCCAGGTCCAGATCTTGTCGTATCTTACCGCACTTGCTGTATTTTTTATTTTTTTTTGTGGCCAACACATACCAGCTCTTGATCTCCATCTTTCCGTTCCGTCTTTCCTCCTTCCTGCCTTCCCCCTTCTCTGTCCGGCCCAAGGCTGCCTGATAGTTGCCCGACCTGTACATCTGCATCAACTTCCAATTCCCGCCGTCTTACCTCCCGCCTTGGCATCGTCAAACCTTGGAGAAGCTCAACTTCCAAGCAGCTGCTTGCGCGAGACGCCAGACCGTCAGAGTAGCTTTGCGACCTTCATCCTGCTACCTGCTACCTGCTACCGCGACAGCATGTATTGAGTTCGCCCAACACGATCTCAATCTTTTTGGTATCCTGGAGTTCGATCTGCATCTTACTCGCTGTTTTCTTGGATTCGGCCATTGTCCGTGAGCCCACTATGGCGCTTGTCGACGCTCCCTCTCTGGCCTCTTGTTCAGATTCGTCCCTCCGTATCACCCTCAAACCCGAATCGACGACGCCTGTTCCTTATCCGCCGCGTCACATCGATTTCGCCAGTGACCTGGATGAATCCTTCGATCATGTCGAGCTCTCGTCTTCCTTGGATGGCTTGCACATTGAGGGCATCGACGTCTTGAACACCTTGGATAGCATGACAGCTTTCAGTATTCCTCTCCACGACAACGACATGCGCCACTCCGTCGGTGCCAGCCCGTACTCATTGCCACCCAATGGACAAACCACGTGCCTTACGCGGGGCTCAAATAACGATCGGCTGCTCGAAGACAGCATTCCCTTCCGCAAGTGGATGAAAGCCTTGCACCGTCGAGCCAGGCACCGTGCCGACTCGGTTGACAACGGCCACGACACCTCCGGGGATCCTTCCAGTCCTGTCTGCTGGTCGCCACAGTCTCCAAGGAGGGCCCATCACAGGTCTTCATCCTCGGGCTCGTCCTTCGATTTTGTCGCAGCTGTGAAAAGCGCCAGCGTCAGTCTTGCTAGTGCCAGCATCGTCACGCGTCCGATGAAGGACCCAGGCCTGGCTTGCCGGCACTCACGGACTGAACGTAGTAGCAGGGCGTCTTTTACTGCTGCGAGAGTGTCAGAGGATAGTGGCTATGGAGACCGGACATTAGCCCACGATCCAGCTGCCACCGAGCGATCGCTGCAGCGCCGCCGCATCCTCGAAGAGCTTATCAGCACCGAGGAAGGGTACATCGGCGATGTTCGTTTCCTCATGAATGTGAGCACGCGAGAGTGTGTTGCCTTGTAATTTCTCTGTCACTGACAACAATTTAGGTTTACGTCACGCTTCTCGCTTCTCTTCCAACGCTGCCGCTGGGCATGCGTTCTTCGATCAATCGTAACCTCACAGACATTATCCAGTTGCACGAGGAAATCCTCAGTGATCTTCATCGCGTTGTTCCAGACTCGGAGTATGCGCTGCCTGACTTTCCTCGGCCCCCGGCTGCTTCCACAGGTCAAGGCCACCGAAGATGGCGCAGTCTCGACGCCGTTCCGGAGCACCACCACCCCGCGCCGTGGATCAGAGAAGCACCGAGCATTGGCTCAGAAGCTCAAATAGCAGGTGATGTTGCGAGGGTTTTCAGCAGGAAGGTATGAAGTCCCCTTCATCAGCCTCTTCCATGGAGAAACATCTGACGTCAACAGATGAACCAGTTCTTCATCTATGAAGAATATGGGGCTAAGTATGAGATGATGATTAAAGACATGGCTTCGACACAGCGCAAAATGCCACACTGGGAAGATTATCAAAAGGGATTGGAGGCTTTGGCATCCTCTTTGGGTCCTGTGAACTCCCGGTTCGACCAGTCGAGGAAATCGTTAACTATTGGAGATCTTCTCGTCAAGGTAAGTTGACTGCGTTGTAGTGTTGGGGGACCGTATCCTGACCTACGTGTAGCCGATCCAAAGGATGTGTAAATATCCTTTGCTTTTTGCCGAGCTTCTCAAGTATACCCCTGTAGTCGATGACCCTAATTCTCACATGGAGGTCGAAAGTGCTCTGTTACGGCTTCGGGAGGCGACAGCCGAAATCAATCGCGCTACGAATGACGCCTTTATGAGGACCACCCTGCAAAAGACATGGATCTTACAGGATCGTCTTGTCTTCCTTGATCAAGTAAGTTTGAGACGATTCTCGAAAAGAAATAGGGTGGGCTAACCTTAGCATAGCGCATCGACGCGGCGACGAAGACCAGGATACGTTCATTTGGCCACATCGAACTTTGCGGTGCCCTCCACGTCTGCTGGCAGGCTCGTGAGGGTGTTTGTGGCCGATATATGGTCTGCCTTCTCTATAATGATGTGCTGTGTCTGGCGTCGGCAGGCAAGGCTGATCAAATTTACACGATTGAGGCATGCATCAGTCTCAATGGTATCAAAGTCGAGGAGCCTGATAATGGTCGAGGTATGTCACCACTTGATTTGCCCAGTGCCTCTAAGGTCCACAGAATTCACATTCCCAAAAGGACTCCAGTGTCACACTGCACCTTTTTCGTGGAAGATCGTCTTTGAATGTGATTCTCAATTGTACGAAATGGTCATGACGGCATGTAATCCCCGAGAACAAGACGAGTGGCGTGGCCGTCTGGAGCAGTCAGCGAAGGAATGTCAAGAGCAATCCGACCCCAACCTGTTGTACAGCTCGATGTCGCTCGACATTCGAAGCCTGGGCACAGTCTTTGGAAAACCAGGTCAGTTTGAATCCTTCGCCGGCGCGATGTTTGTTCAAGTGACTGAGTACGAAGTAGGTACGGTGGCGCGACGGATTTCCATGCATCGGGCGATGACCATTGGCTCGAAAACACCTCTATGCCAGGTCATTCTGAAGAATACCAGTGACGTTCGCGAGGCACCTGCATTGCCTCTGAACCCAACGATCAACAGATCGCAATCGCTCTTATCAACCTCTGCATACAGAGTGCCGGTGCTGGCACCGCATCGTGCCGAACGCGCGCGACTCGAAGCCCTGTTGTCGGATATCTGGAGTCGCGACGTTCTCCCTTTCCCTAGCATGACAGGGAGGTCGAGGAGCGAGAATCTTGTCAGAAGCTCCGCGAGCACTATGATGCGGAAGCTGAGTGTCACAAGCATCACTAGTTCTTTTACGAAGCGGTCGAACAGTGTTGTGAGCATGACGAAACTCATCGGCGAAGACGAGGCTGCCGATGTTCTCGAAATGCGGAGACCAGTATCCAAGTTATCGAGAGTGAGCAGATCATGGACTGAGCAAGACGGTGACCTCCATGCCGGACCGACGTGTGGCGCCATTCTGCATCGAATTCGGGACGAGTCCGAGAAGAAGGATCCAGGCAACGCGCCTACGGGGGCTGCGTTGGTGCCGACGCCAATCGAGGTTCTTGGTCAAGGGAGTGCAGAAGCTCAACACCATGACGAAGATGTCGTGATGAAGGACATTGGTCGCAAGGACATCAAGACGCTACAGGATTCCCCGACAGGCGGCCGCTCTGTCAGGAAGGGCACAAGACGGGGTAGGCCGGTGCCACCAACCCCCCGACCGTGCTCGGCGACACCCACCGGTTCGGTGAAAGAGGAGCCCTGCTCCATGGCAGCCAAACGGGCTGCGAAGAAGGCCAAACTTGCGCACGGGGCGGGGCCTAGCCGGTGGGGCAAGGTCGGTGTGCTCAACAGAGACGTAATGATACAAGGTATTCGCAGCTTCTTCCGTTAGAGGCAGCAGGTCCAACATGTGTACTCGGAGGGCTGCAGAAGAGGGTAAACCTCATATATGTAGCATTCATAAGACGGTGGAGGATGGGCTTGATGACTGATCAAGGGCGTTTGGATTGATTGCATGAGCATGAGATATATGGCTGGATGGCTTTTTGTCCCTTTTCACTATGGCTTATACCCCTTACCGGACAGGGAGACTGGAAACTCATAGATTTACCCTCCTTATTATTAATGTCACGGCAGCGCACAAGAGCGGCTTTCAACCACAAGTGTGACCCAGGCGCAAGGTTGATGTCGGGTCGTCGGCCGACTGGCACACTGCACATCAGCTAAGGAGCTTGAGCCGGCTGCCATTCAGGGGAAAGGCCGATGACAGGCGATGATCTGCAGGCTGGCAGGGGCAGCTCAAATGTGGGATGTCACTTGAAGCTGGTGCTCAGAACGGAAATGGAGCCGGCCGGTCAGTTACGTTGTCTTTCCAGTGCTGGCACGTACCTTCGGTATATGCAGGTAGTTGGAAATGACGTAGCGGCTGGGGGGGAGCTTGCCCAGCGGGCCAGGGCGAAAAGGAAAGAAATCGTGAGGAAAAATGTCGCGGGGCGGGGCAGTGAGACAGTGTGATTGCAGCACTGTGAGGCTGGGCAGGCAGTCTGGCGGGGCAGAGAGGGGCAGTCAGTCAAACCAGGTGCACCGTAGAAGCTCGATGCCGAGATGATGACGTAGTGTGACCGCAAGCTGGCAAGAGCTTCCACCGTGAGCTGGGCTTGACCGGATCGAATGAGCTGAGCTGAGCTGTCCTTGTCTCTCCCCCTCGCTGGTATTAAATCAGCCTTTCTCCTCGTTCGTGTCTCGCACTTCCCCTCAATACCATCACTCCCCAAGATACCCCCCCCAAAAAAGCAATTCCTCACCTCAATTCCGTCTTTCAGACAACTCAATTCACTTCTCTACCACCACAACAGTAACCACCACACAAAAACAGCAATCATGGTTCGAGGAGAGGTTTCCCAGACCAAGGTCACCTACAAGATCGCCAACAGCGAATTCAGCGTTCTTGTTGAGGACCCCGAGACCTACAAGAAGTGGCAGGATGACAAGAGCGTTCCCCTCGCCCACTTCATCTCCGCCTTCAAGATCTTCATTGGTAACAGCCACCTCGACACCGCCTCCAAGCAGGAGCTTGAGAACGCCTTTGGCAGCGAGGACGAGGACAAGGTCATCAAGCAGATCCTTGAGAAGGGTGACGCCCAGCCCTACGAGGTACGTTTTGGTTCCTGCTTCGCGGTCGCGTTCTTCTACCTGCAATCGCGATCACCCCACCGACGAGCCCCGCCTCCACCCCGCTGCCCCGCCCACCAAGATTCGAGAGACAAGACTGACATGTCGTCAACCTGCAGATGGCCGGCCGCCAGGGACCGAAGAACGACTCCAAGGGCCCCATGGCCGCTCACTAGACGCGCCTCGTGCAGTGTCAGTCACGATCGCCCGACGGATCGGATGGCGCTCCGGAGCACTCGTGGTCCAGGAGCTCAACCCACACCCTCCCCTGACGCTCTAATCATGACTTGACGGGGTCAGAACAGGGATTTATTGGTAATGATAGCGACGACGTCACTCCCGCAAATGAGGGGTAGATGCAAACAAATGTGAGGGCGCCATATTTTCAGGCACCAGGAAGGATCGATGATCGGGGCTTCTTGTTTGTATTTGTCGCACACATCCCCCCGCATCGGCGCAGCCAAAGCCAGTCAAAGGAAAGGAAAGGGAACCGCGAGATGAGCGGGGGGAGAGGGGGGTTCTCCCAAGACTGGCGCATATGGCGTCTGGTTGGGGAAGATTCTCTTCACCAGCCAGCTTTGATACAAATACAGAAACCCGACATTGATCACAACCTTGCTTTTGTCTCATCACATTATAATGTTTGATCTTGCATGACTTGCGGCGAGACTAAATCCTATGCAGAGGCTCATGTGGTTCGTAGCATGCTCTGGCTCACCGTGGTTCTCGAGATGGGGTTTGCAGGGTCCCAGTAACCGGCGGGCCATGGTGCAGCACCTTGCTCCTTGGAGCTGGCCGAGACTGAGCTTTTCTGTGTTGGTGTGGAGGCTTCCGTGGCTGGTGTAATCAGCCACAAATACACAGAAGTTCTCTGTGACCCATCTTATCCACTGTTCAAACCGTCGAGGGTCTTGACAATATCTGGTACTATTGGAAGTGCCAGGAGATTCCATATGGGTACCTAGTTAACGATAACGAACCAATTGGCATGATAGACCAGTCCAACCTCGCTCCATCACATGCATTACTTCCAAAACATAACCCTGAAGATTCCCCCTCACGCATTTAACTCTTTTCCTCCGTTCACGCATTCGTATTTGCCATAATAATTATGTATGCAATCTAGTTACGAACGGCAACCTCCGAACATCGGCAAGTCGACAATGCTACGGTCCGCCCCAAAGGGGCTTAGTGATAGCTCTCACGAGGTCGTAGGCGCCCTGCAGTAGCTAGCTATCTAATTAAGCTCAGAGGATATACATTAACTTGATATCGTTGATTGAACTGGGCTGTATTCATTGAGGTATAGCATAGGCCCTAGGCCTATACAATGGTAACTGGTCGAACCAGTAACAAGGTGGTCGTGCAACCAGCATCTCTCTAGCTAAGCTTTCGTTCACCACCTCTCTTGCGAATCGTTCGATGATCCCGGAGGCTTCCTATCTGAATGGGAGATATGCTGCATCCTTGCCACGTAGGCAGCTCGGCCGTCAGACATGGAAGACACCAGTTCCACTCGATTGCGGGAGACCATAGGCCATTAGAGCCTCCCATGTATACCAGGCTTAGCCTTAATGCAAAAACATAACGGACAAACCCCAACCTTGTCTGAGCGGCGTCCCAGCCGGCGTGTTATCATGAAGAGCTACCCCCTGTTGCCTGAGTCGGGGGATACGACCGGGTCTAGAAGGCCAAATGAGTAGACGTTAGCATATGTAGAGGTCAAGGGATGATACTTCACCATGGATGCTCCCATGTTGATTTACTCCTATCTCGAGCAAACTCTGCCGATCCCTGATTTACACTTGACGTCCAACGATACCTTGACCACCAAATCCCCAGCAAACGCCACCATCAAGTCTTGCGCTGTTCTTCTCATCCTCGTCACCTCCGCAAGCGCTTCATTCTGCAGCCTTGGAAGGCTCATGGCCCCCAAAGCTAGGTGCCCTTTAGCCTACGTGAGCTCGGCGTGACGATCGAGGCGCCAAAACCAATCCACAGCGTAAGCCCCTTCCATGCCACAGGTACTGCGTACCTTAGGTAATTGACTGACCTGGGGTTGGGGATGCCTGACCCCTATCGTGCGAGGAGCCAGGAAGCCGTAGCAATCCCTTCCCGGACTTCAGAGCAAGCGTGTTTCCTGCTTCGAAGGGGGCTCCCGTCCTTTCTCCTTGCCTGAACGGTGGCGTAACTTGCGCAAACCCTTGCGGTCATGGTCGAGAATCGAGGCGAGGAAGAAGCTAATGCCTGTGTCACCAGTTTCAGCGCTGCGTACGTTAGTTGACAGCACGTCCACTTGAAGGCATTCTGACCCTGGCAGTGTTCTGGAATCATCCCACCTTGACACGGAGTCTTGCTGCCGTCCGAGCATGGGATACATGGCGCGTAAGTGCAGTCACACGCATGTTGGTATCGGCTCAGGATGTCTCGCGATAACCGGAAAGGCATACTGGCTAAAGGATCATTCTTAGGAAACCTATGAGATGCCTCGGACACAGTGCGTTAGTCAGCCTCTGTCGAAGCGCGCGAAGTTTGCCATTACAGAAAGTGAAAGTGTCGGCCTATTACGTGGCCAATCTGGTTGGCGTTGTTGATGCGGGTGTTGGATAAGCTGGGCGTGTTGAAGAACTGCACATGCTGCCCGAACCAGTCCGCAGGGCGAACCCAGGCTCCTCTCGACAAGGCCAGAAGTTCTTTTGATAAAGGTATATGATGTGCTCCAGGATCATGTTGAACTGGCAAAGGAGTTCAGCAAAGGCCTATTGGCCTTTCGGGAAATATCGTCGCTGAGCTCAAGTGCCTCGAGGCCAGTGCTCCCAACTCCATTCCCCCGCCGTTGTAGCCTCAGCCCTCCTAAGGTAATCGGCCTCTGTCGAATCCCCTCCCCCGAATGCGAATTGACAACCCTCGGAAACTGCTGTGGGGAGACCGACGGTGGGCTCTGAACATAATGCCAAGTCCTTCGTGATCTTGATGCGACATGACAAGGTCACTCAGAGTTGGGCTAGAATAAAGTATGTCTTCCCGTCGCTGCCGGGTCTCAGCAGCGTACGCAACGGCCCCAGACTAGCCACGAGGGCTCGAGAAACTCACGCCCCCTCGAACGAAAGGGAACGCCGTCGAGGCGGTTCCCGAGTCACCACCCAAAGGACCGTCCAGCGTTGCTGGAGCAGACATGTTCCTTGGCCGTAGCCGCCGTCGGGTCTGTCCACCCTCCACGATGAACAGTTGCTCCAATCAGGTTAGCGCCCTTGCGGCTCCAAGGGGCCTGAACTCGAGTGAGGTGCGAGCCCCGCTGGTCGAAGGCCGGTCAGTCAGCAGAACCCCCCAGCACAAGAACACCAGAAAGAGCAGCGGGTGTATGAATGAATTGAACAATAAAATAAAATAAAGAAAAAAACTCACAATGCGCATGGGTCAAATGAATGACCAGATGAAAAGCATCAATATTGGTTCAGAGTGCGATGAAGTCCCTTTCGACGGGGCCAGACCGAACATCAGATGCCCAGCCCGCCCAGTGGCCTCAGCCCCCCCCCCCCCCCTCCCTTGGCGCCCCCTCTGCTGGCGCCCACCCTCCATCGTCCCTCCCAACACACAGTTTCCGACATGTTTCGAAGCTGGGACCCCCCCTTTCTCCCCCACATGCTTTACAACGGCGGCCAAGAAGAGGCATCACGCCCGCTTGCTCGACACAAACATGCTCACTTGGAGAGTTTGAGCTGCTTGCCTGGTTTTTCCTCATGGCACGCACGATGTTACGCATGAACTTGCGTAGGGGCCATGTTCGCAACCCTCACTGCAGCGAGCAAGGGCAAAGCCAGGGAGCACGTCAGAGGAAGGACCAAGGCGTGTGGACGACGTCACTGATTCGGAGAATTGTTGTGGTCTTGTGCTGACATTACTGTGATGCTGGCTAGCTAGCTGCCTGCTCTACCTGACCAGGCGCCGTGACCCAGGGTGGCCCGTGCCGTCTCCTCCAGGCCTCAGCGCACGCCTCCTGTTGTGCTGGCAGCCAGGGGGCAGATACCAGAGAACCGCGGGGAAGCAGGTTCTTGGCCGGGGCGAAACCTCAGACTGCTGAGACAGGTCTGCTGGTCGTCGGCCTGGCCTCAGCTTCTCACGTCGAATCCTGCTGCCACCACTCCCAGGGTATGAGACGTTGAGCGTGCTTCATCTGCCCTCCCTCACTCACTCTCGCTCTCGTAAAATCCTGCCCTGTTTCCCAATTCCGCTCATCGCGAGATGATGGTTGAGAGATTCCTAAAACGAAAACGCCGCTGCTTGATGCCATGAGAGATCAGATGTTGCTCCGATCTGGGAGAGATTGAAGAGCCAGAGTGATAAAAAAAAATAGATGATAAAATAAGAAATGTCTTTCGATAGTAATCTTTTTTTGTGTGCTTTGTTTGTTTGGGGTTGCCGATCGTCCAGACCAATTGTCTTGCTCGTCTGTTGGCTGAATATACAGGCTCCGCCTCTCTGCCAGGTGAAAGTCCCTCTGGGATTCTCCTGCGAGGTCGAGGCATCGCGGCATATAGTACATGGATTTGGGGGAAAGGTGATGGCGATGTGTGTCGTTGAGTTTTGTCGTGGGTTATACGCGTGGACCGCTGGAGCGGGCTCGTTGGGGCAGAGACCAGGGGCTTGCGCAAATAATCTACAACCAGGTCAGTCGTGAAGCTCACGGAAGAAGAGATGGCTAGTCATACCTCGCCCTCGCTGTAAGCCCAGAAGTACACAATCAGGGCGGTGAGGTAGTAGATTGCTGGGTTCGTCGCCTGGTAAAGGAGAGAGGCGGCGAGGGTGGTAAGAGGCAACATGACGAGACGGAACTCGAGGCTGCGGTGAAGTGCCGTGCCGGCAAGTAGAGGCATAGGCCATTCGAGAGCGAACATGAATAAGCCCATGACCAGATTTATGATCTGAAGGGCCGGTATAGGCTTGACAGCCGGATCCAATGTCTTGGTGAGGAAGTCCCAGAAGATCTTAGGCCAGAAGAAGCCTTCGATGGCAGCGGCAACTTGGTCTATTTGAGTGTAAGTGACTTGACAACTTCGCATCTCATGGCGATAGGACTTACAGGCTGATGCTGTCATGACGATGAGGCGAGCCCAGTGGTTCTTGATGAGGCGACCCATGGTTCCAGGTTACACCGTCCTTCTAATCCTGTCTCTTTCTGGTTTGTCCTGCGTCTCCTTGCTGATCGACAAGTCGTCGATGTCCTTGCGGCAGTCGTCTCCCGAGCTTGTCTTGAGACCCAAATGACGAGAAGGCCTGGCGATGTAATGGCGAAAGTTCGATTCGTCTGACGGTAATTCGAATCAAGCAAAAGAAACCTCGTTGCCAAAGCTAACCGGAGCCCGAACCAAATAAAGACACCGAAAAAAAGGAGAGAAAAGTCGACCCGGTCGAGAGTTGCAAATGAGTCCTAGACGGGTGGAAGAAAGGAAGGTGAGGTGCCGGACCTGCGGAGGAGAAGAGAACGTCGAAACGGTAAAAAGTGAGCCGATATTAAAGAATGCTATCGACTAGGCAAGTGCACAGCGCTGGCAGAGAAGAAGGCCAAAAGTGTCACCTGTCTGTTGGCGGGGAATGGGCGGCTCTATATTGGGATGGAGAGACTCCGGACGAGAGAAGGGTGTCTGAAGTCGGAGGAGCACGACCCTCGGAGCGTAGACGATGGACGGGGGTCTGGGGTCGACAAGGCGACGAGGGTTTGGTGGAGGGGGAATGGCCCTCGCCCGGAGGGCAGGACACCAAGGCGAAGCAAAAGCTTGTGTCTGGTGTCGAGGGGCCTGTGTCAGAGGCTGGGATCTGGGACGGGTGGTGAAGGGAACGACGGCCCAGGATGAGCAGGGTATGGGACGTCTCTGGGTGGGCCTCGAACGCGACACTGACGATAGGGCAGGCGATGGGTCAAGCAGCGGCGCAAGTCTTTCGCGATCCAGGTTCTGGTGATCTGATCTATGATGACAGCTGGCATCCGAGCAACATTGAGACGTGAACGGTGGGAGGAAGAGGCGCGGCGTCCAAGGGTTGGGCGATCGCGTGTCAGAGAGAAGTGGGCGAGGAGGTGGTTAGGTTGAGGGGATCTGAGGCTCTTCTGTTTTGCGGGCTTGCGCTGGGGTCTGGTGCTGTCTGGTGCAAATGCCGGTAGTGCGTCGCAGGTCGTGGCCGTGGAAGGTCGTGGGTGAGCAAGGCAAGTCTGGTTGTCGGTGCGTAAGAGGTGGAGTCTGATACGTGATCGTCTTCAGGGATGGAGAGTCTGTCTTTCGTGGTTTGCGATGTGGGCTGGCGCATGAAGAGGTTTGAAGATCAGACAGTTGGGTAGGGGACGGGGAAGGGGTTGTTGAAGCGGCGGCAGAGGCTGTTTTATCAGACCGACCGTTGCGATCTGGATGGACGGGAAGAGGGGAGGGGGGCAATCACTCTGGGCCAGCCATCCCATGCGTAGCCGATGGCCTCTGGCCGGTGGCCGCTGGGCGAGGCCTTTTGCCGTTCATCATGCAGCATGCGGTTCGAGGAGGCCCCGGATGTGGTCACACTGGCGACCTGGGCGCATGGGTAATCGAGGGCGGCTTCTTCTGAGAGGGGAAAATGTGGCGGGCTAAGCCACTAGACTGGGCGAGAAACATAAGTGTGATATCCCAGCGTACGAATTGCAGAGGCTGCAGAGACATGCGGTAGCGACGGGACCAGCATCGGGACGTCGAGAATGGTGTTCTGAATCTGGGCAGAATCGATAATTGCCAGGGCCAAAGTGCAGGCAGCACGAGGAGAATGCTCGAAGAGGGTGTGATTGGTGAAAGCTCGGCGGTTAGAAACAGCTTCGACCAATGGTGGGTCTTGCCGCTGCAGCTCAGGCAAGGGTGTAACAAGGGGGGGCCCCTTCCCTCCCGCCCAGACTGACGAGATGCTGGCGCCAAAAAGGCCCTGGGCTCCTTCCCTCCCTGCCTGCTGCTCGTGACTCGATGGGGGCATCTGGGGTCACTGGCAGTCTAGGAGATTTTTGGACAAGTTAGATCGTGAACAATTCCATGAGCTTATTCTGGGATTGGTCCAAATGAGCGAACGAGCAGGAAAAATCATTCAGACTAAGGTACCTAGGTGGGATACGATGATTGAAGTGAAGCGAGAGAGGTCTTGGTAAGTCATTACATGGTAGGAACATCGTCCCAGCCCCCCTCCCCTCTCTTCCCCTTCGTGCCGTCTGCACCTTCTCGTCCCGCCTGCAGGTGGGAAAGAAGGTGCTCCCCGCCTGCAACTGCCACACGGCACCCATCACCTTAGCAGGCGGTACCTAAGATGGTTCCTCTGCTTAGGTACCTCCGATAACTGGCACAGCGGCCGGCACCTTCCAAGCCGTCTTGCAACCGAGCGTACCTTTCACTCAGCTGAACCGTTGCATCGATCCGTCAACCCATGTACAGGCGCATGCAAAGTCAAGATACCATGGTGATTATGCCATCTCATGTGCTGAGACGGTTGATCAAGGGAGCTCCGACAGACACCAGTTCCAGAATCTCATGGCTGACGCAAGTCCTGTTTGACAAAGTCACATGGACGACTTGTCCATGTCTCGCCAGCGACAGGGGTCTGGGGCTTTGGCTCCGGGTCCGAGCTCCACTCTAGACGTCTCTTCCGGGTCTCTCTCTCTCTCTCTCTCTGTCTACCTACTCTCTGTACCTCGGTGAGTGTCTACCTTTGCACGCTTGGTACCACGACAAGCGTAACCCGCACCGTCACACCGCTGTCGCGATGGAAACACTGGGTCTCGAACTTGTGAAGATGGCTTCGAGCCTGCATGTCTAGCGGGTTGCGCGAGCATCGTCATCCGCTGGCTCCACCGACTCATGAACATGCATGTACTTGTAGCTTCCACGACCATGCTGTTCTCAGCCTTTGTCGACGTCGATGGACCAATGTGCAGCCGCCGGTCTTCCGGCTTGGGATCATTCGTCTTGCTAGAAAGAACGAGCCATTTCAAAGGGTCATCGACCCAGAGTCGCGTCTCGATCGGGTCAACTTGTTCATGCAGTGGACCCCGTCCACTCCAGTGCTACCAGGCAACCAGGTAGCGCCCGTTTCGCACCCGACCCACGAGGTATCGACACCGCACAGAGCACAAGCTGTCAAAGATCAGCACTTCCAGGGACCCGGACCACCCTCTGTGCCCAACCCCTTGGAGTCATCACGAATTGTACATCCTAATCAGGTTCTGGCGGTCCAAACTCTTCCAACATGACCCATGACAAGACACTTTCGAGCGATTCAGTAGGACACCCATCAGACGTCAGACTGTCCGCCGTCAGTTTGGGATGGCAGGCCGCACACAAGCCCCCCGTCCAGCAAAACTCAATCGGGAAAAACGATACAAGTCTGTTCGCCTCCTGCGCAGTCGTCGATACGCCAGTGCGGCCTTTCAGGTCGCATCAGCACAGGCGTTGTCAGGAGTCCTGCACCCAAGCGAAAGGCGTTGCTAGTGCATCCCCAAGATCCCCATGTCCTTCCTGGCCGCTTGAGCAACCCATCGCCAGACCAGTCAGTGATGGAAATCGATAGTGCGAGATGCCAAGAGTTGCGAGGACAGACATCGAAAGACCCGGCTTCAATCTGCGAGCGACTGGCGACCATGGCATGTGCTTGTTAAAGAGGTTGCGTTTGCCGTGCATCCAAATCGGTGGGTGATGCTAAAAAAAGGCATCCCCACCGCAACCCCGCCGTCGGTTGCCCTCAGCGGTTCAAGACCAGCTATCATTGGCTACAACGGCGCTGCACAACGCCGCCAGCGGTTGTGACCACACAATGACAGCAGCCAAACATATACAGACCTCCTCATGAGTGGCATACTGGCTTGTCACCTGCATTCACTACTGCGTCCCAGCAACCAAACAATCACCTCCACGCTAGTCGTCCTGCCACTCAGCTCTCGACGTTGGCTGGAATTATCGAGCTCTCGCGTGGCCAGATGTCCAGCGGCGATCCGGGCTCAGCCGAATGCACAAAGAATGTCCAACATCAGTGATCTCATGGCGTGCAAAATCTTGTGCGAACCACAGACTTGGGTCTCGATGTTGGTTCATCCAGCCGACTGATTGGACGACGACAGGCAGCCAGGCTGATTGTTGCAATTATAAGGAGCTCAGGGTCAGCGCGCAAGAGCCAGACAAGGCTCCTACCTTGTCTATCGTAACCTTATTGTGTCACATGACAACCAGACGAATGAGACCTCAAAGTCCTGCAGAGCTGCACAGTTCATAATCGTCGCAATCGGTCCGTCCAACTGGGCGTCGTGATATGTTGACCGCTACTGTCCTGACTCGTCTCATGGCGGCTCATCCCACCCAGGACCTCGGTACCGGGGCGCAGCTGTTCCCAGCTCAAGTCGCGACTGTCTTTGTCCCTTCCCGACACTGAAACCCTTCCGTCACTTGATTGCTTTGCTCCAGTCGTGATTTTGATGACAGAGAAATGGTTGTTGAGCTGTTGCTGTAGTGGGTCGGCTAGGCAGAATGCCTTCGACCTCGGATCAGACGCCACCCGCCCTGATCGCCACGGCTTTTCACGACCTGTGTAAGGCATCGAGACAGGGTGTGGGCGTCAGCGACTTGATTGTCACGACTTCTCAGGTCGCCGTGAGATCTTTTACAAACGAATGCCGATTAGCCGGGGCGGGGTCCTCGATCTGGACGACCCCCCGCTTGTCGTCTCAAGCATGAAACAGAAAGACAGGGACGTCATCCGAAGCGTCATACTCGAGGGTCCACGGGAACATGCTCTTATTTGCTCGGTATTGCTTGGAGACTCTACGATCGTTGCTACTGTCGCGATCTGATGTGACGCATGCACATGGTCCATACTTCATGAGGTTCCTCACCTTTGGCATAAGGCCGGTGATGCGAGAAGCTGTGAAGATCATGCGGCGCATGCCAGTGCCTATGTCATTATTGAAATGCCACAAATAGAAACTACGCGCCTGTTACTGTCTGTGTTGTGACCTCTCGATCGCTGTCGCGACTGGTGATCAGGTCGATCTGGACGCTGGAAAGACAAGGAAGAGAGGAGTAGATACCCAGGATCAGTGTCCATCGTTGTCGGCTCACCGGCCTCTTGAGTTTCTTGACCAGTTTCAAAAGAAAAGCAAAATGCGCCGCAAGAGTTTACGCAAGGAATACATAGGAGTACTGATAGGGATACACTTTATCACTTGAGGAAGAGGAGTTTCTTCGTAAAGAAGGTTTGAAGCACGCCAGAAAAAAGCTTCCGCAATGACGGGGATGTCTTGACATCAGGTTCTATCGCATGCACAGTGCTTCAAACTGGACTATGATGGTATCTGATGAACACGCTGGTATCAAATCATGTTTGACTTTGGAATCTGCAGACATGGCTAGGTCTTGGAGTGTCCTTTTGCGAGTGTGAAAGACAGGCAAGTCAGATCAGCATGTGAGAATGTTGAGGATCGCTCATTGGCGTAGCTGACTGCTGTCTTCTGACGCCTGTTGTCATGAGTTCGAGCAACTGTATAATACATGAATGTCAAGCGTTGAGAGGAGGCCTTTCGCGCAAGAGCACAAGCTGCCCTGGACGCGAAGCTTTTGAAGCCTGTTTGTAAACGAAGAGGGTCTGCGTCGCCATAACCAGCAGAAACATATCAGTTTAAAT